CAATGGAAATCCCGCATTGACTAACCTCTGGTGTTGAGCATATAAACGTTTTTTTTTTTTTTTTTTTTCCGATAGGGGAAGACATGACTTCGATTAGGAGGAAGAGAAAAGGGACTTGATGATGCCGTGTTTGACTGATTTAGAGTGAGCACTTGAGAACGAAAGAACCGGTTTTGTTGTCCTCAGTTAAAATGTCCAGTACAGACCCGATACATTAACACGAAGACGGAGCTTCAAGTACTGGAAACCCTCTAGTGGTGGGTCTTCTTTGGTGAAAGTGAGTCCAGAAGAACATTGCGTGAATGCTTCAACAACACCCTCAGACGATTCCAAGCTCGGGTGAATGACCAGGTAGTCGTCCACGAACCTAAAACCTTGGCATCCCGCGGAAGTGTTGTGAAGTCGCTTTTTTATGGCTCCGTTTACGAACGAGAGGTAAACTTCACTGAGTATAGGCGCGAAACAAGGCCCAATACAAACTCCTTTCTTTTCTCGAACGATCTTTCCTCTATATTCCGCAAGGGTAGGCGAGGTGAAGAGCAGCAAGGTCGACAAAGCCATCGACCGAGATTCCAGAAGCATTTTGGAATTCACAAATTTCGTGTTCACGAATAGCATTAGAAATTGATTCCAGAAGAATTTTTGAATCTAGATTCAACCACATATTTTCAATATTAGATTAAAACATAGTGAGTGGAATGGTGGAAGAATGGAACCGTGTGGTGGAAGACATCACATCTACAACGTCGGAAACTCAGAAGGACTGAAGAAGATAAATAGCCTACAGATGCTTCTAAAAAGAAAAAAAAAACTTTTTTTTATATAAACCTCAGAAACGCAGATTGAGAAACAAAAGCAGGGCTTCATTAGGATTACGCAACTTGCTCTGTGATTAGTTTTTTTTTTAACTTATTACTGGCAAACATCGCAACCTCGGCTGCGCAGCGATAATAAGACAGCAGTGGACGGAATATTGGATTACTAGGAAGGTTAATCAATTACTCTTATAACTCTCCTCACAGCTAAACATGTGTTAAAGAAACACATTGTCGAAGGTAACACTCAGGCTATGGCGGAATCAATACGTGTCCAAGAACGCGATTTTTTTTTTATTGTTTTTGCTAAGTGTTGGCCTGCTGTAGTTGCCTTTTTTTCTTTTTTGAACTGAAGTCCACAGACTATGTGTGTTAAGCAGTTGATATTCTGCACTCTGGGGTCCATCTAAACGTGCGGATCATACTATGATTTTTTTCTAAAATCAAGTTCACTTTTTGTACGGATTTCGTATATTCCGTTGCTCCAGATCACGTTCTTCGACGCTGGGCATTAATCAGCAAAAACAGCTTGGACTTTCAGTCTGCGTCTCTCGCCCTCAATGTGCGGCCACGCGGGGGACGGGAAAGGGAGCTGCGCCCAAACGGACAATGCGGATCAAGCTTAATTTTGATGTTCCGGATACCCCTGCTTGCACATGTAAAATCAATACCACTGCGAGATAAGTGACTGTGGATTATTTCAAAAACCGCCGTTGTGATGCCTCCTCAATGGGCAGGAGCGTTGGGGCTCACTTTAGTTTCTTTCGAAACATATCTCGTCATCAAAAAAAAAAAAAAAAAATAAACAACACGCAGTCTGATGTTTCGCTATTTGCATTCGCACCGGTTTACTAGCCAGCATGGGAGCATGGAGTATTTCTTTCTGGCGAAAATGAACTTCTTCAAAACGAGAAAAACACATGCGCCAACTATGCACCCGATGTCGACTATCAAAAAACATTTTTTTTCTTACATGTTTTTTGCTATTTGTACACGGTGGACGGACTAGTTAATGAAATATTATTAGTTTTCAGTTAACGTTTGCCCCGGAAGAAAATAAACCGGGCGAGGACAATAGTCGGATATTTTATATTCCACATGTTTTGTTGACTATGCTTATTGCGATAACCCCTTTCCAAAAGTTGGCGCCATCTTGTAGGCGTTCCACTAGTTACCAGAGTCCGCCATTGTTTTATCAGATGTCTTGAGCGCGTATTTGGCACGACGGCTGCATCGGCGTTCGGTGGGGACTCAGATCCAGTTGGACGCTTCTTGTCCAAGAAATGGCGACTGCCAATGTTCCTTGATGCGGTGTTGAAAAGTATTTGTTATCTGGCTGTTTTGTTTGTACCCCTCGCATCGATCGCGATGTTCTTGAAGTGACTTTGACGTTGATCCAAGCGACCAGTCGTGACAAAAATTAATTTCAGAAGAATCAAATAGGGGAAGGGTATTAAATTATCCGATAGCGCGTGAGAGTAGGCGGTGGACATTGGCAGGTGTCCGCAGCCTCTCACTAAATTCTTTGTTTATGCGCGACTTAGTCAAATACAATGTGGTGTAGATATCATATTTATTCATTCATTCATTCGTTCATTTGTCATTCATTCATTTATTTATTAATTCATTTTTTGTGTTTGTGAACGAGGGATTCATTAATGAAGCAGACACAACAAGGTAACCAATTAGTCAGAATAAAGTAAAATGCTCTTAAATTTAAATTAAAACCGCTAATATATGATGCACTGAAGCTGTCACGCAAGAGTTGTACCCGGTTAATGTGGCTAATTGAGATAAATTGATTAAGAAAGAAAGTAGGAGAATGTCGCAATACTCACCTTGGAACGTGAACAGTTATAGATGTCCATTCCGTAATTTATTTTATCATGAGCATTGCGTATCGAAAACCTCATACAAGAAGCTTTGCTTTTAGCAAAGCCCTGATTGTGCTTCATCCAAACGCTCTACCTAAATAACCGTATCCTAAACACCTTTGGCATGTTGCAGATACTTTCACAAATTAGTTTTTAATACATGGCTTCTTACAAATATTTCCAAAATTGGTAGTTACTATTCTAACATGGTATCTTGCAAATCCTTTCAGAAATTAGTATCTATACTCGTTTTCATCTTAAGAACAGTAGTAAAAAAAATAAAAAAGTCCGGCTTTTCGCGAAGAATTTCTGATTGCCAGCTTTATGGGAAGAGGATTACGATATATGTAGATCAATTTTATTTTATTTGCTACCCAATCAAAACGTGTACATTTCAAACGCCAAAAGCTTCGCTTCTTCCTCCTACAACCAAATATTGTGAAAATATCGTGCACTGCATAACCAATGGGCAAAACTTTCTTAATTTTTCCTGGGAAAAAATAGTATAGCACTCTAATATAGGAGGCATGCGGTTTAGAGAAGCTCGTTTTAGAAAACGCCGCTTTACCGACCCCAGTTTATCGAATCGCCTTGCAGAGCTTAGTTTAGAGAAAATGTCGATGAGCCTCCGTTCAGCGAATTCGGCCACCGCAAACAGGCGTGTATGGGTGGGCCAGGTGGGTTATTTTTATAAAGAGCCGCCGCAAACTCGCCGCGATCCGGCGTATAAAGGGGCGTGGGGGGGGGGGGGGGGGGGTTAACACGTGCCTCAGTAATAAACGTGCGAAGTAGGGCAGCCTTTTTTAAAGTAACGTCCCCTTTTCGATGAACGGCATTGCTCTAAACTGAGGCTCCGCTTTCTCACAACCGAGCCTTGATAAAGCGAGACCGTGCTCTAAAACGTGTTTAGATGAAATGGCGTTCGATCAACCGTAGTAGACCTCTATAACATAAATATTTTAGTCTATTAATGTATTCATAATTTTTAAGGCACTCTTAAATGGCGTGCCAATTTTTTCGGGAGTGGGAAAGCTTAAAACAATCACAAAATGACATTTTTTTTTTTTTTTTCAGGGCGATTTGCATATATGCATCTCGCCTGTTCTTGGACGAACCATTTCCTGTGCTGAAAAGGACGACCGCAGAAGCAGCTAGGTTCCGCCCTTTGCGGTCAGCGGAATCGAGGCTCTTGGCAGGGCAGCACATCAAAGCACCAATGGCGTACCAACTTGTTTTTAAGTGTTGGGGGGGGGGGGGGGGGAAACCAGACACCCCCCCCCCCCCCCCAAGGGACGGGGTGCGGTGACCTTGGTATCCCTTGGGCGTCGACGGCCAGTGTTTTCCCTGCCCAGTGGCGGGGCTGTTTCAGGGGTGGCAAAACACATGCCTTGCCCCCCCCTCCCCCCCCCTCCTCCCGCGCTCTGAGAACTGGGTGGGAAAGTGCCCCCCTTGGCCCCCCGGTTGGTACGCCCATGCAAACAACATCTCGTGGCCATTCATTTGTGTCTAAGCGCAGGACAAACACGCTGTCATCTCGGCCCTGATTCTGAAGCAGGAGAGCACGCGGATTTAAGCTGTTTACAAGCCGAGATGGGACGGGTGCCAATCATAGTGAGCAAAAACAGCTACAATGGCGTAAAGTTGGACTGCGATTTGAAGTTTCTTTTTCAAAAAAGAAATTTGAGAGGAAAGGGGAGGAGCAATGACACCTTTTTCTCGCTCACTGATATCGGTGTCGCTTTTATATGGAATAAGCAATTTTAACTTGAGATTATCTTAAAATTAACGAGTTACTTGTTTAATTAATGTAATTCAATAAGATACTTTTCAGACAAGAGTATTTAATAGCCTATTCAAGAAATATTTTTCCTGGCGCTCAGTAACTAATTAAGAATTTTTTTTAAATTTTTTTATGCGTTGCCATTTCTAGGGCTACCTAACCATGGAATCGGCCGCGTCCGTCTATCACGGTTCGAAAGCTAAATTCGCTTGTCAAACCTGAGTTGCTTTGTAGTTTTAAACTAATTAAATTTCTCCGTTGGGTATAACGGGAAAAACTGAATCGTCGTATGTATCTGTGCTCCAGATTAATTTAGAAACAATAGGCATGAAAACCGCGCCGTGGTAAGTCGGGCTGCAAGCGCCTGTCTTGACGGACATATTCGTTTGAAGATTTGCAAAGGATCCCAAAAGGCTATCGCATTCCATCTTCTGTTGCTGCAGGCATAAAATGTGTATTTTTTTATTTTTGTTCAAGTCTGGAAGCAGAAAATTTATGTCGTATAAAATGCTAAAAAATGTAGAGCATTACCAAGTCATCGACCAGGATCATCACTATGTTGGGACGCTTTGCGTGGCATTGTAGTACGGCTGTCAGAAATAACAGGACGTGCAACATCATTCTGAAAAAAAAAAAAAAAAAAGAAAAAATGAACCAGATTAACCAAAGCCTAATGTAAAACAAAAACAAAAAAACTTTCGTTCTCGGAGAGTAATATTAATCTTCGTTCCAATGGTCTCTCATCATACCGAACAATGAGATACCCTGTTTTATTTTAGCTTACCACCTGGAATTTCGGGTTATGAGTCTCATGACGTCAACAACGAGATTGTTCAATGGTATTACATCCGCCGGAAATTTGGAGCAAGGTCGGAAGGGGAACGTCGAGTTTTTCGACACGTGCCACTTTATCTTTAACACTTCTATGTATAGGGTGGTTTAAGTCACCAGGCTCGATCTAAAATGGACCATAAAAATCGACGCCTACACGTAGCCATCTAAACTTTTCGTCAAAGGTGTATTTCACCAGGTCGGGTTTTCTTGTAAAATTACAAAGCGTAGCTTTCTTTCTGTAAAAAATAAGGTCAATAAACTTGCCAGGGTCTACGGCGGGCAGCAACGCAGACGACAGGGGTCCAGTAGCGGGGTGTGTTTGGCGCTCGTATTGATAGATGGCGCTACCTCCTAATCGCGACGGCTCGCGACCACCGTGGTTTATTAAACTGAATATAATCTTTTTGAAATGTACTTTCGGTTAAAAAATGAATGCGAACAATAAAACCAAAACTTAAAGTAAAAAAAAAAGAAAAAAAGAAACGCGTTTGCATAACGGCGGCGCTTTTGCTGCCAACGGATTTCGTCTGCGCGTGTCGTCTGCACATTCAGACGCTGCTCCCGACGCCATCTATCAATACGAACGGCAAACAGAGCCCGCTACTGGACTTGGTCGTCTGGGTCACCGCCCTCCGTAGACCCTGGCAAGTTTCTTGGCCCTATTTTTTACTAAAAGAGAACTACGCTTTGTAATTTTACAAGAAAAAAACGACCTGTGAAATGCACCTTTGTCGAAAAGTTTACATGGCTACGCGCAGGCGTCGATTTTTACGGTCCATTTTAGGTCGAGCCCGGTGACTTGAACCACCCTATATTCGCGACTCCAGCGACCTATAGGGGGCGCCACCACCAAACAAGTCGCGTCGGCTCGGCCGGTCCGCCTGAATGGGTGGCGCATTCAATTTAACAAATTTTCTTTTGTTGAATGCCCAATTTTATGGGTATTTGAACTGAGACAGTTAAGTGTAGCCGGTGCGCATAAACTTGCCGAGCATAGCTTTGTTTTGCCGGTGTTTTTTTTTTTTTTTTTTTCATGTCAAACTTTTGTTTCGGAGACTTCGATCAGAACCGAAACTATGGGCTCCGGAGAAACGGTAATAGACTCTAATTAGTTTTGATCATCTAAGGAAAGCGGCGAGGGCTACAAAATTGTTCCACCGAGAGTAATTTTTAGCTAACTCGCATGCCTCGACCATGCGACTTATCTGTCCGCAAATTAAGCTTTTGTGCCTGTCCGCGTTTCAAGAAACAGCTCCAGTTGTGTGCTCGGTCAAGAACACATGCTGCAGGAAAATTACAAAAATTAAGCAAGCGCTTGTTGAGCCAAGGAGCATGTCAACTCGCTGGCGCTTCACTAAGCAGCTGATACTCGTATTTCAATTCAGGTTTTAGTAGCAATCGACAAGTCATTTTAACGAATATGCGGATTATGTATCATATTACGTACTATGGTCCCACTAAAGCGATATTAGTATAGTCTTCGGGTTGAAATATGAACTTAGTTAACTAACTATTATGTGAACTGCTGAATAAAAGTATATTTGACAAACAGAGAGATACTATTTAAACTTAGCCACACGGTTCTAGCCGGTAGAACGGAGACGAATGCGGACAAACTGAGGAGAGTCTTCATCGGAGATTCACTCAGACCTCTCTGCATTGAACTTGACTTCGAATCCTGAACGTATAAAATGAGTATTTTTTGTGGCCGGTCAACCTGAGCAATGTAGACGTGTATTGCTGCTGGCTTCGACAGGGGCTATAATATAAATATTGGAGGCGCGATAGATCTTAATGACGTGACAGCTTCTAACTTTGCGAGACGCGCCCCCACTTTTTGAAAGCAGATAATTTCCCTCATTAATCATACGCAGCGAGCAGGTTTTCTGAATCAAGTAATTGCGAAATTAGCCCAACTCCCTTAACGTGGTCTTTTTCGGCGAAAAGCCGCCAAGATGAATAGCCAACGCACCGGCCGGCGTTACTGGCTCAAATTAACTTGAAGCTAATCGAGCACAACCAAACTCAAGGAAAGCAGCTATCGAACCTTCCCATTCACTTGACTGCAACATTGGTGTTCCCTCCAGTGAAACACTTCGTCCGTCAACCTCAGTCCACTGTTCTACATCCTTATAAAGAAACCACCTATCAGTTACCAAGCAGTCGTCCCTTTGAATGTGATTAGAGACAGACGAGAAATCAAAACGTTTTTCCGTGATTCCTCCTCATCCAAAAAATTGAAAGCACGCGACCGTGTGTTGTGGAGTAAACGGGCTTTCAAACACGTGATGGAAAGAAACAATCTATTGAGGCTTCACCACACCAATGAACACTCAGGCAAACTTAAGAAATTTTCGGACCTTCGTCAAATTACATTGCTCGCCCCCGCGCCGAAACCACGTGTCCGCGGAAGCCATCAGAGACGCGGCGGGGCGCGGAGCGACCTGGACCGACTGGTTCCCGGTTTTCCCGCTTGGCGGCGACCGTTTTGCTGGAGTCGCGAATAACCCTTCTAGGAATCACTCGACACACCAACCTTTTTTTCTTAGGTCTGTTTACCGAATATGAAAATTGAGTGCTTTCCGATATTTATACCGCCCGCCTTTTGCAACTTGAGGACCTTTGCCTTCGCCTCCGCACTCCCAAATAAAAGCGGGGCCAATGAACGCGCCATGTTTCTGACGTCGTTACACGAGGACGCTGCCGTTCTTAATAATGAACATTGAAAAAATACTTGCGCAATGTTTTGTGTAAGTGTTGTAAGTTGGGCAAATTGGTATGATGACATGATGAACAGAACAGCGCACACAAAGACAAGGACAGAGAGAAGGAATATGCACGACACACAAGCGCTGTCGAAACACACAAAACAAAAATGTCTTATGTGTTTCGATGTAGAGGAAGGACAATAAGTAGCGCATTGCTTTTTTTAAGAGAAAAAAAAAATGTATGCCTAACGAGCGTTACACCGATCGGCTTTATCTTATCTGATATATTTAAAGGGATTGTTATTATTACAGTACTGAGTGCATTGCAGCTCAGTGTTTCCCCACATATCTCTATCTTGTTCTGCGGTGTGCCCAAGAATTGCGAAAGTGATATCGTGGACTCAACATGTTAGTATAATTAGAGGATGATTGAATATTGTCGGACGTCGTATGGCATGCCATCGTCACTGATAAATTAAGAAAAGGCTAAAGCCTCAATGTCACTGACTACAGAGAGATGATACGTTGCTAGAAACTCATCCCTGCCTGCACTTCTTAAGTCAGCAGTGACTATAAGTGAATGACGGAACTCTTCATGTATTGTTCTAACATTTTGGTTCGCTCAGGTTAAGTTAAGGGGACAGTGGCTTGAATCAGGAATAGCTAAAGAAATATTTCGTGAAAACTCACCAAAGGTATATTCGCACGATGCATCTTGTTGGCGAATCTTGCGTCGCAAAACTAGGTTACAGAAAGCAGATTACGCGTCTGAACGCAGAAGGGGCACGGAAATTACTTGGAGCGCTATGCCGAATCGCCGGTCAAAACTGGGGCTCCAGCCAGCTGACTATGATGACACTTTATCGAGGTCTTATTGTTAATAGAATTATGTATGCCCTGCCTCTCCTGAATCTTCAACAACGACAATGGACGATGCTGGAGACATTTCGCAGGAAGGCGATCCGTATATGCCTCGGCCTGCCCACTTCATCAAAGAACGTTCCCACCCTGGTAGAGGCGAGCGACTCCCCCCTTCAACTACAGGCAAAAGAACGGACTTTGCGCCAGATATCGAGGCTTGCTGGTACTGAGTCCTCATACGCCTTGCTAAACTCAGTCACTGCAAGGCCATCCTCCCACTTCGGAAAGGTGGCGCAGACCTTCCTGGATGTCATCGGATGCCCAGAGAACGTACCACCCATCCCGCCACCGCATCGAGAGGACAACCATCTCAAAATAGCGACAGACATTGTCGACCTTCCAAGACGGAAAAAAGTTGCAGAGACGGTGGCTCGTTATATTGGAAACGAAACAATCAGCACCTACGCAGATATGATTCACGTTTACGCAGATGGCAGTGTGAAAGGCGATTCGGCCACAGCAGCCTACGCCGTCCCTGAAATGGGCTTGGGTTGTAAAGATCCGCTGAGCAATTGCACTAGCTCAACAACAGCCGAGCTTACAGCTATATGGCTTGCCATCACACAAGTGCCAAAATACATAAACTCAATAGACCTTGCTGTCTCCACTGACTCGAAAGGCGCACTAATGCAATTGGCTAACCTCAACACAGCTTGTCCCCTTGCAAAATCTATCGCCCAACTCACACGGAAAGCAAACGATTCGGGGATCACTATATACTTCCGGTGGATTCCATCACACGTGGGAATTCTAGGAAACGAGGAAGCAGACGGTCTTGCATTGGCAGCACACAAAGATACCTGCCCTACAATTGCTATCCATAAGTACAACTCCGCACGCATCATAATCCACCAAGAATTAACAAAACAACACCCTGACGCAGAAACGGCAGCTGGTTATCCACCTTTCCCGATAAAAAAGAAAAAATTCAACCGTAAACAAGAATCGCAGTTACACAGACTGAGAACGGGTTGCTCGAACACCAACATCCATTTGCACCTCCTCAGACGATCAAACACAAAAAATTGCAGCTCATGCAATGAACCCGAAGACATCGACCATATATTTTGGACCTGCCCAGCGCATGAGGATCAGAGAAAGACGCTACTAGAAACCTTCGGAAAACTTCACATCAACGCCAGCACTACACAAGAA